AAAATGTATGGTGTCCAAAAATTCTTTGAGGGCAAAGCTCTCAAAGAATGCTCTCTGCAGGAGCATTGGCTTCTTCATATGAAGAAGGAAAATTTTTTTTAGCAATGTTATAACATTATATATATATATTAATATATAAATATTTTTTTTTAATTTGTATCACCATTAAAGGTCACGTGATATAAAAATTTATTGCATTTTTGAGCATAACTTACAATTCTGAGTTTTGATGATTTTTCCCAAAATTGGCCACGAGGTGCACCAAGTTGCGGGACTAGGTGACTTGCACCATAGCTTTTTTAAAAAAGGATCAGTTATAAAAAATAAATTTTCTTTTGTATTTTGAATGTTACACTTATTATTTGCATCTACAATGGCTGAATGAATAGAAAACACTACACAAACTTGATCATTCTCAACATCAACATCTGTGATTACACCTACTGTCCCATTGCAGATACCGTGTTCCATTTACAAGTTATTCAAGAACATAACCATTGCATTGACATGAAGCCTGACAGATTTTGGTAAATTTGTCCTTTCCTTAAACAAATTATTACCTTGATCATGTACAACTTGACTGTGAATGACATCCACAAAATTTGATATCATGAATTTAAACATAGCATTTTGATAAATCAATATATATATGGATTTTTATTTATTTATGGTACTAACAAAAAGTTATTTAGAAAATATGATTGTTGTTGTGTTGAATATAATTTATATGAATTTATTATGTTATTTTTCGTTCGTAAATAGTAAAAATAAAAGAAAAAGTCAAGGTAGCAGACTTATTTATCTGTCTTTATCCTATCATGATTAGTCAATTTTTTTACTTTTGATTCATGAATTTGTTCAAAAACTTATATTGTTGTGTTTTCTTTTTTTGACAATCAGGAATATCAGTTTTTTGAACTTTTTGTGGATTCTTCCACCTGCTCAGATTGTTATAATCTTTGTATCATTAACAATCTTCATTGTTTGCAAAATTTCAAGCTACAAGAGAAGAATAAAATCAACTTGTGAAATTTAAAAAGTAAAAACAAGTATATGAGACTTCTTTACCTTGGCATAAATGATGGTAACTAGAGCATCCAACGTATTACTAAATTGTGTGATATCTGCATATATCTCACATGGTTCTTCCCTCATATATCAGCATGCATATCCCTTTGGACAATCGAGGTTTGTCTTAATTAAGATGGCACCTTCAAAAATCCTGAATGTTAGAATTTTGATCAAGTCTTATTCAGAAAGTACAATTTATACAATGCAAACCTGAATGAACAAATCCTGGAACATTAATCTTGCGTATCTTCTCTTCAGAAAAGTTAACCTTATGTGCAAGAGATATGAAGATGTCTTTCAAAGTTTTTGGCAAACTCAAACCATGTTCCTTTATGAGTTTTGTACCTTGTTCACCCTCCCATTTAGATCCAGCCTCAGATGCTGCCCATTTGATTGGTCTCAAGCCAAATGTTTGTACGTAACCATCATCTTTCTTTCTAATCTTCTTTCATCGCATTCAATGTATATTATTCAAAGTTCTACCACGGTTTTTCCTTTCTGTGCTTGCCAATCCTGCCTTTTCTCCTCTATGTCATTTTTTCAGAAAAAGTAAAATTAATTATAAAGTAATGGATGGCAATTATGTATAGTTACTCTTTTACTCACCCGACAAAAAACACAAATGGTGTATCCAAGAAAGCAATGTCGATGGTTCTCCAGACATTAGCATAGTGGACATTCGTTTTATCACATGTGACAAAATCGATCGTTGATCTTTTTTATGTTGTGAAACATATGACT